TTGATTGTTGCTTCAGTCGCTGCACGGCAGCTGTTCTCCAGGTGTTTGGATGTGTGTGGCTGAACCATCTTGTCTTAATGGCGGCCTCCTCGAAGAATTGGCAGGACTTCCAACGCCCTCCCCACCCCTCGTTCCTTTAAAACAGACCAAAGGCACACAAACCACTCAGCCAGCAGCATGCTGAGGAGGTGTACCTTAACATTACTCAGCCAGAAGAGATTGCTGAAAAATAAAATGAAAGCAAACCTTTTTGTTTCTCTTAACACCAAAGTAACTGTAATAGATGGTCTGGTTAAATCCCCTCCCCCTCCAAGCTGCTGGCACCGCCATAGTGAATTTAGCCGTTTTCGTAAACACAGCTCCACTGTGGAAGACTTGAAGCCGCAAGACATGTTCCAAGTGCAAGTTTCAACAGCTAGGCCCTTTGCACAAAGCACACCGTTTTTGCCCTCATGCTGAAAAGGGGGGGGAGGCCTGAAACAACAATCCACCAGGCGAGAGCGGTGGGGGGGGGGGGGGGGGTGCAACAGGGAGAGGAATGAGTCACACAGCAAACATAGCCTGGGCTAAGGTACATTATACCACCATGTTCCAACAGCAATTAGTGGCATTACCTGAAATTATACGTAATGATTCTAAGCTGTGTTTAATCGCAGCCACCTTTATTAATAGAACCATAAATAACGGTAGTTAGAAGAACTAATTTGCTGGTTGGTAGCCTCCAAAAATTCTATTTAAATACCTGTTTCCCTTCTGGGATGATGGCCATGCCGAGCAGCTGAAAAAGTGGACATTCCTTACTTAAAAAACAAGATTTCATCTAGAAAAGTTTTTTATGGAGTTTTGTTTCACAATTGTTGGAAGCAAAGAACGTGTTTTGTAAAAAAAATCCATAAATTAAACTTTGAAAAATTTACTCTCCCAGAGAAAAAAATGGAGAGTAACTTGACTGTATTTTTTAAAATAAATCCTTTTTCATAATAAGTTTTACTAATTATACTCTTATGCTGCTATAGGCTTAGACTGCTGGAGGGCATAGGGACCACTTTTCATCATTCTGCTTCACTTTATCTCTATGCTGATGATACCCAACTATATCTGTCTATAATCCAGATGAAGCTAACCCATTACATAGATTACAGGCATGTCTGAAGACATAAAAACCTGGATGGTTTCTAGAATTTCCTTCTTTCATCTGAGGAATATTGCAAACATGAGAAATCTCCTGTCCAGGGGTGATGCTGAGAAACTAGTCCATGCATTTGTTACTTCAAGGCTGGACTATTGTAATTCTTTACTATCAGGAAGTCCACAAACTGTAGTTAAAAGCCTTCAGCTGATCCAAAATGCTGCAGCCAGAGTTCTGATGAAAATGAAAAAGAGAGATCATATCTCTCCTATCCTGGCTTCTCTTCATTGGCTTCCTGTTAAATCCAGAATAGAATTTATATCATATAAAGCCTTAAATGGCCAAGCTCCATCTGATATCAGAGATCTGATTGTTCCTTATGTTCCTAACAGAGCACTTCGCTCTCAATCTGCAGGTTTACTAGTGGTTCCTAGAATTTCTAAAAGTAGAATGGGAGGCAGATCTTTTAGTTCTCAGGCTCCTCTCCTGTGGAACCAACTACCAGTTTTAGTCCGTGAGGCAGACACCCTGTCTACTTTTAAGGCTAGGCTTAAAACTTTCCTTTTTGAGCTTATAGTTAGAGTGGCTCAGGTTATCCTATCTCTATAGTTATGCTGCTATAGGCTTAGACTGCTGGAGGACATAGGGACCCCTTTTCACTCCATTTTCCAGTGTAGTCCTGTTTCTCTGACTGTGACTAACTGGATGTGCTCTCTTCATCCTCTGACATGGGAGCTGGTTTGGAGCTCGTCTGCCTGGCTGTGTGTTTCCTGGACGGGGCACTGGACACTGAATCTGGTTCTGCTTCCTGTTCAAAGGGAGTTTTTCCTCTCCACTGTTGCTACAAGCATGCTTAATGTGAGGGATTGCTGAAGAGTCAATGAGTCGATGTAATCAACTGGTTTTCCTAAGATAGAAAACTTTGCACCAATCATTAAAACGACTGATAATAAACCTTTTTCTTTCTGATAGAAAGGAGAGTTTGCTGAATCCATCTGAGTATAACTGTCTCTTTATAAAAAAAGCAAAGACTGATAGAGATAAAACTTCCACTAACTTTGAAGTGTTTTCTTTTGTTCTAATAGAAAGGACACTTGGTCTGGTTTTTATTCTCCTCCATATTTTCTCCCACTAAGAATTCTCTCATTTTCCGTTAACCAGTCCCTTCAAACACAGTCGTTCTGTTTTGCTCTATGTTTATCTGACCAGTTAAAGGTTATTAGCCTATAAAAGAAAATAGGTTTTTGTTCTGCTTTAGTGTGGAAGTCCTGCAGGTTTAGAGGTTTTCTAGCTTCAGCACAGCTGATTCTCATTATTGCAGTTTAATAGCCCGTTAATCAGCTATCAATTAAAATCAGCTGTGCTGAAGCAGGAGAACCTCTCAAACCTGCAGGACAGCGATCCTCCAGGAACCATTTTGGGCATTCCCGCTCTAGAACAGACTGAGGTTCTGCTCCTATAGTAACATTTGTATAATCGGTGTCTTTTCTAATGAAAGTACTCCCCGCCCAGTGCCTCTGACTTTAACCGTGTCTCTTTCTGGGAAGACGCCACCACTACAGCTAAAGCTTCCATGAACCTTGCAGTTTCTTTGTATTTCTTTCTATAGAAAGGACACATGGCTCATTGTTTATTCTCTTCCATTGTTTCCTGAATTGAACCACTATCAATGCTCCAGCTTAAATTATCGTAACCATTCCCTTTAAACTTTCCAGTAGTACTCTCAAAGTACTATTTATTTGCATGGATCTTTCTAATCGGAAACACAGATGAACGGAGCTTTTTATTTTTGGTTCCTGCAGAAAGTGCACCTGACCTACAGATTCTTTTGTACGATTTTTTTGTTTTACTTTCCTACCTGAAGTACCTCCTGCTCAGTGCTTCTGTGTTTATCAATGTTTTTGGAATGACTATGACCCGGATGACTGAGAACCTTTAGCATTATATTGACTCCATTTTGGAAAGGACACCCTGGGAATAATGTAAGAGTACGAGAACCTGCTTAGGAAACTTGCAGATTTTAGGAACCATCTTTGTTTCATGAGAACTCAATGACTCCCCAATACCAAGAGGTGGACCTGTTCATTAGGCAGAAGTGTCAAGTAACAAAGTACAAATACTTCATTACTGTACTTAAGTACACTCTTAAGGCATCTATACTTTATTCCATTACTTATTTTTCTTCCTACTTCTGACTTCATTACATTTTCACACAAATATCTGTTCTTTCTATTCCTTGCATTTTTAAAACAAACGTTACTCGTTACTCTTGGCTTCGGTTTAATAGACAAGCGCACCCTTTCTGAGGCTGTCGTTCTATTGGCTGGAAAGGTTGCTAGGCGACGATCCGATCCAATCTGAGAGAGAGCAAAAAAAATCCGCAAGCAGAGCCTACGGGTTTGCGAGCGTATCTGAGACTCGAGCAAAAGAAGGAGGCAAGCGAGAGGAGAAAATATCTGTGCAAGAAGCATTAAATCTGAGAGAAGAAACAAAGATTTGAGAGAGAAGAGAAAATATTTGAGAGAGAGCGCATGTTTGGAGTGTGAGCATTATAAGTTTTGAGTGCAAGAAGATGAAATTCTTTTCTCAAATTGGAATTATGTGCTCTTGCATTATGGCAGGATAATTCTTACATACATGACAAACGTTTATCGATGTCTATGACCTAGCCTAGCCTAGCCTACCCAACTGTAGGGTGACCAGATGTCCTCTTTTTCCCGGACATGTCCTACATTTCAGACTAGGGTTCTCAAAAGTATCGATAGTTAAAAAAGTATTGATACTAAAATGTTGTATCCGGATACGATACTCTCTAACTCTCAGCTTAGTGCTTTTTTAAGGTTCACATTCAGTTCTCAAAAATTAAATGTTGAACATGGGTCAATACTCATTAAAACCTTAAAGTAATCAAAAGTAATTAGTGGGGATGCACGATATAATCGGCCCCCTATCGGTATCGGCCTTAAAACTGAATATCGGACATCGGCCGACCGACCGATATTTAACCCGATATTTGATCAGCTTCTGAGTTTCTAAAGTCTAAAAAAAATAAATAAATACTACTTCTTCTTCTTCCTCAAAAACTTCTTTTTTACAGACTTAAAAACTTCTAAAGACGAGGGAAAAAATATTGATCCATTAAAATATCCCAATATCTTCATATGCTGATATATTGCCATTTAAAAACACCATATCAATCTCTTTTACTAATGAAATATTGCTATATGTCATCGTTATGCTACGAAATCCCCCGAAAATTCACCAAATGTTGCCATATTTTTATATGTTGATATATTGACGCGGTATCGATCTATTTTACTAACAAAATCTCACAAGAATTTGCAAAATATCACGAGAGTTTGTAACAGAACGATGAAATTTCACGAGATTTTGGAAGTAAAATAGACCGATACCGCGTTTTTAAAAATCTATTTAAGTATAATATTTTTCAAAGTGTCAGAAATGGATACCAAAACTGCTATTTTCAATGACTACTTATTTTTGTCCAGCTTTAACATCGGTATCGATATCAGTTATCGGCTACATGAGTTTTTAAATATCGGCATATCGGATATCGGCCAAAATCCCAATATCGCGCACCCCTAGTAACTAAGTTACATTCGTTTTTAAAAGTAATCGACAAAGTTACACTACAATTATATTTTAAACAAGGTAACTTGTAACTGTAACAAGTAACTTACCCAACACTGCTTATGACTGAATTAAACTGTTTTAACTGAACAGGTTTGATTAAAACCAGATTTAAAACTGACACTACTGTTGGTCTGTGCTGTTCTGGGATAACGGTAATCTTGTTAATCCCAATCTGAAACAGATCAAATCTAAACAGGGATTAAAAGAAGCACAGTTAGGATTATTACCAGCACATTTTTTTTTATTGTTAACATATGTGCAAAACACTGCTTTAATCAAAGCGCACATAAATGGAAGATGCTTGGCTGCAAAGTATCTGTACAAAAACAAGTAAGCAAAAATAATCAAATCTGTTTATAAACAATTTACAAAATATAATAAACTTTATATAAACATGTAAATATTCATTTATGTCATCATCAGCAAAATAACCGCAGCTATTTTGCACGAAGCTGTCCTTTACATTCATTGTTGCACGTTTCAGACATCCTTTATTGCCAAGGTTTCCATTCAGTGAGGTAGAAAGGTTCCGGTTTTTTTTACGTTCTCTTTGGTTCTCCTCGTGAAAAACAGGACGGCCGACCGGCTAGGAGCTCGTCCTCGTTTGTGGGAAATGATCGGTCCTGCAGCTGTCAAAAGGCTGCTCATAGACGCTGCTGCCTTGTTCTGACGAGTCCTTGTGTTCCAGGTCCGAGTCGACGTCCAGAGCAGAGTACAGATTCTCATGAAGAGTTAATCCATGATGCGTGACGGATGGCGGGACGTAAACATCCTTGTTCGGAGTCCAAGGAGCTTTCCCAAATGTTCCTACAGGACAGGTTTAGACGTTAGACCGAAGCAGAGGTCATTGTGATGAAAAGCCAGCGGCCTGAACAACTTACCCATGAAAGTGTTGCTGGTAGAAACGCAGTTCGGAGGTTTTCCACAATCAACGGGTTCCGCCTCATCAAGCGACGGCTGCGGGTGTCCCTGTTCAGACGGGGAGCCTGGACTCGAGCCGCTGTCCGGATGCTGCAGCCCGAGGGAGGAGGAGCAGAGGTCCAAATGCTCGAACGGCGAGTACTCCCTCTTTTTGGGTTTAGTCAGGCTGCCGCTGTAGGACTCCATGGAGACCGGCTTCTGGTAGGCGGGAAAACCTGAGGGGGAAACGGGCAGATGTGACATCACTTCCTCCTCTAAGACGATTGAACCGGGACGGGATGAAGAATTTCACCAACCTGGGAAGCCGTCAGACGGCTCGCTGGGGTAGATGCCGTCCTGACAGAGCAGCGAGCCGATCGGACCTTGGTAATGGCAAAGCAACGGATCGATGGCCGCCTGCATGTCGGCTTCACTTCCTGTGTCCAGCTGGCAAAGACCTACCAAGGTTAAGACATGGTGCCCGGTTAGGATTTCAATCAGTTTTTCCTTTTTGATAAAGCTTATAGTTAGAGTGGCTCAGGTTATCCTGAGCTATCTCTATAGTTCTGCTGCTATAGACTTAGACTGCTGGAGGACATAGGGACCCCTTTTTCATCATTCTATCTATGCTCTCTCTTTTAATTAAGTGAGTATAAAGTGACCTGAGATGACATGATGTGAATTGGAGCTATAGAAATAAACTGAATAGAGCTGAATGGAAGAAGGAAAGGCCAGCGTTGTACCGTTCATGTCTTTGGCTTGAAGGTAGAAGCCGCTGTAGGACGACGCCAGGTACTGATGGCTGCTGCCACTTTCGGACGGGATGTAGGCGTCCTGTCGGTCAGCCAGAGTCCCCTGGGAGGACAGGTAGCTGGGAATGTCCGCAGGCAGGTTGGTCTCGTCTAAAAGCACAAAGAAACGAATGAGTCAGAGTTCGGATGCCTGGACGATCCTACAACCAGGCGTCCACTGACCCGTATTGGTGACGCTGCAGTCCTCGTTCCGCCGGCGGGTGTGGTAGATGATGACCACCCAGACCAAGGAGGTTCCAACTACACAGCAGACCACCGCTATGATGACCACTCCCACTGTGGCCCACCCATCGTCAGCCGCTCCCAGTCCCCCGCCCATGACCAGCCCAACGCCGCCCTGCGCCGCCGAGTCACAGTTAGGGTTCGGAAGGACCGCCAGGCGGACGTCGCCTCTCTCCGTTCCCAGGACGTTGGACATCTCGCAAGTGTACTTCCCCGCGTCCGCCTCTGCAGCGTCGACCACGATGAGGAGCTGGTTGGCAGCGGCGAAGAAGTGGCGCTCGGTTACCAGCAGGGGGCTGTCGTCTTTGGTCCAGTTCAGCCTGGGAGGAGGGCTGCCACCGGCGATGCACTGGAGGACGGCCGTCTCGCCTTTAACCACGGTGCGATCGAGGAGTGGCCGCAAGAAATGGGGGGTTTCTGCAAAAAATACAGGAACGGGTTAAACGATGAAAGAATCTCTAGACGGAAAATGTCGGCTCCAAACGTGAGCAAACTTTCTCACCGAGAACCGTGAGAGTCGCGTTGGCAGAAATGGCTCCTGCTGTGTTCTGAGCGGTGCAGCTGTAAACGCCGATGTCCTCCGTTTTGACCCCCACGATGAAAAAAACGTCGTCCTCCGGCATGACGTGCATGCGGCGCTCGCGGGCGGCGGGGAAGTCGGTGCCTCCGTCTTTCTGCCAGGCGATCTGAGGTGAAGGGTGACCGGTGGCGGCACATTCCAGCCGCGCCATCATCCCCGCCCGCACCGTCAGGTCCATTGGCGTTTTCAAGAAAGAGGGAAGTACTAAAAAAAACAGAAGAGGGAGTATGGAATGAAATTTATTCCATTATTTTTGCAAGCGAAAAACATGTTTGAAAATCGATATTTAAAAACAACAAAATTTTGAATCCAAAATTAAAAATTTGAAAACAATTTAATTTAAAAAAGGCTTGGAGAGTAACTTAGCTGTATTTTTATTTTCTTTTTTTTCGTTCACATGTATTTTTACCTTATTTTGTTATTTCTTCCAAAAAATGTTGACAATTAGTATTTTTTCAATCTTTCTCTCTTCAGTAATATTTATTAACAGATTATTTATTTATAAATATTTATAAATATATAAATATTTATAATTATTTATTTATTTTTTATTATTATTTATTCTTCAGATACAGTATTACTATTGCATTATTTTGATTTGCGTTTTATGTTTTTTAAGAATCTGAAAAGAATGCAATCTGTAAAACGCAATCTGATAAACTGAAATTTGTAAAAAAAAAAAAAAAAAAAAAAAAAAAAAAAGGAAAATATAAAATTTGTAAGTTTTTTTGAACTTTAAAATTCTGCAAAAACAAAAAAGTTAGTGAAATAAAATCAAATGAAAGAATTACAAATAGAAATTTTAATTTCTGGATTGCATTTTAAAAAATGTCCATGTTTAATATATGTTCTTTGTTTGCAACAATAACGGAATAAAAAGTCACTCCATACCAGAGACACAGGTAACCGTCATTCTATCTCAGGCTTACTGTTGACGGTGAGCCGGGCCTTGGTGGAATACGACGAGCCGAAGTGGTTGGAGATGACGCACTGGTACCTCCCCTCGTCAGAGAAGTCCACGTTCCGCAGCTGCAGGGTGGTGGTGTACTCCGTCACTTCCGTCTCACTTCCCGCATCGCCCTGCGCCCGGAGGTGCGCCTGGCTGTGGATCTCTGCGTCGTTCAGGACCTCGTTGTCTTTCTTCCAGGAAAAGTTCATGGGGGAGTCACTGGAGCTTGCGGCAGAACAGACGAACGTCACGTTGGTTCCTTTGAGAGCCGACTGCGTCTCCGGCTGCACCGTAATCTTGGGTTTTGGGAAGTCATCTGGATGCAGAAGGGAAATCATTTCGTTACATATTTCTAACTCAAATCATTAAAGAAATTGGAAACAAAACTATGGAGTGATTTTTGTGCCGTTATTGTTGCAAGCAAAGAATCCATGCAAATAAAAATAGAAAATGTAATCCAGAAATAAAACTTTGAAAATGTTTAAATTGAAAAGGTTTTGAGAGCAACTTGTCTGTTTTCTAAGATTATATTTTTTTGTCTAATTCATTTCTCATATAATTTTTCTGACACAGATTTAATTTTTACACGTTTTAGATTTCTCTTTTTCAGATAAACTTTCATGAATTTATCCTTCTTTTCAAATCATGTTTTCCACATCACTTCACTTCTTTCCATTGGACGTTAGCAGAAATATTCTTATTGGTCCTATGGAGTGAAAATAATTTGATCCATAAAATGAAATTTCAAGAGGATGCATTTTTAACAATAAAAACTACTTTAAAAATAATTGAAAACTGCATAAAAAACTAAATTTGAGAAATCAGCAAGGTTACTCTTAAAAGGATCACATCTATTTTAAATCTCCGTTTACAAAACTTTGCATGCAAAAATAAAGGAACAAAATTCTCTCCAGAGTTCTACCCAATCCGATCCAAACTAAACGGCTATTTCTGAGCTATTAATGCTAAGTCAGGACCTCCAGCTGAATAAAAAACGCTCACCGCACACAAACTCCTCCTGGCGCACAGAGAACACAGTCCTGCCCTTCAGCATCTGTGGGTGGGCGCAGCTGGCATTGATGGAGGGCAGGAAGGTTTGCTCTGCCACCCAGATGGGAAGCCACTTCAGCTGGCAGTCGCAAAGGAGGCTGGAGGTATTCAGGTGCCTACGAGGAGGAGAAAACAGCAACAAAATGCATGAATTTACTCACATGCTTCATTAATCCAACAGTTAAGAAGGAGACTGTTTCCTATAAGCAGCTGAATCAAGATATTTCAGTATAAATAAGAAAAGACAACCTATCTCTCCTTTAGTTAAAGATCAGACTTTTGCTATAATGTATCGATTCTGACCTTGAAAAGAGAAAAATATGTCTGATCTAAAGTCAGGCAGAGAAAATAGATTTTCTTTTCTGCTGCATGGATGAATGCATTCAGAAAAAAAAGATGTCATTAAAATTGCTACATGATGGAAAAGGCACAGGTATGGAGTTGATTTTGTTTCAATATTGTTGCAAGCTAAGCTTATGTTTAATAAATCGCAATTTGAACTCATCGGATATAGAAAACTTTTGTAAAAGAAGCTTCGCGGTTTTCTCAGATTTTACTTTTTCAAATTTTTTCCTTTTCACATTTCTTTTTTAATAGATTCTATTTTTTTTTTTATGATTTCTGTAATTCATATTACGGTTTAGACATTGCATCCTTTTTGTATTGAGTGTCCCAGATCATATTCTCTTCACCTCAAGCTGAAAAATCTAAAGCCTCGGGCTAACGCGCATTTTGCAAACATGGGTCGACCCGTTAAAAAAATGTGGCTCCCTACCCACTGGCTAATAAAGCCGATCTTTTTTAGCCATTATGTTAAGGGTAAAAGATGCTCTTGATGCACACTTTGACCAATAAAACGATGCTAACATCCATGCAGGAAGAAGTGCGTATTCGGAAGATAATATGATCTGGAAAATCCATGATACTCAATCTGGAAAAATGAAACTTAAAATCTAAAATCCGGAAAAAAGGAAAATAAGTTTTTCACAAAATAACACTCGAAAATAATCCAAAAACAAAAAACAATCTAAGAGCAAATTTCTCTTCCCTGGATGGCATTTTCTTCCGTTTTAATTTATCCAATGTTCTTAGCGACAATAACGGAAAAGAATTCACTCCATACAGAGTAAAGTTTGGCATAGGCCTGAACGATGAAGTCACCAGCGTGTGGTGCCGACTTTCCCAGCACACCATAATGAATTAGACCTGGTGTGCTGGGCAAATAAAAAAACAACGAAGCTCTGTTGAAACTCGACACTTACAGCTGCTGAAGGTTCTTCATCTGGGAGAAGGCGTTTGCTTGGATGGACATGATGCCATTATTGCTCAGATCTCTACGTGGAGACAAAGAAAAAAAGGCATCAGCTCTGATTAAGAGTTTTTTTTTTGCAGATGATTTAAATAGTTAATAAAAAGTGAAAAAACATAACAAAAAAAAACCAATAAAGGTCCTGGCAATGGATGGCTGCGGTAATGAAAAGAGGCCAGACTCCGAGCTGCTTTGAGCTCTGGCATCGGCACTAATTGGAATCAAATGTAGCTCTGAGAGAGTCATAAACAGACCGAGTTCTCTCCACCTCGTCTCGCTTTGAGATCGATATATCTGCCTCACATGTAAAGATGCTAATGGCAGCATTTCTTTCCTGACTCCACATCAAAGCAAAGGAACAGAGAACAGTCTGGATGCACGGTTCAAGCAGGAACCCGTCTATGATTCAGTACGCTTTGTTTGGAGCTCAGACTCTACAAAACAATCAATGAAACGGGAAGCCGACTCACAGATGCTGCAGCTCATCCAGGCCTGAGAAGGATTTTTTGGTCACCGAGCGAATCTGGTTCCCCTGCAGGAATCTGGAAAACAGGCTGGATCAGTTAACAAGTTTGTTTTGAGCTTTATTATTGCAATTTAATATAATAAACTCACAGTGTTTTCATCTTTTCGAGTGCAGAAAACGGTCCATTCATGTCTTCAATGGTCCAGGAGATTTCATTATTCTGGAGATCCCTTTAAGTAAAATAAAAAACCCAACTTTAAAGCAACTGAGCTTGCAAATAAAAGTGTATTCATGAGTGCAAAGGAAATGTCTACACATTAAGTTTTTACTCAAAGTGGTGCCTTAAAAGGGAAACCCCTTTCTGGTCAACATGGCGCTTTTAAGTTAGCAACCGAATTTTTGGGTTGTGCGAAAACGAAACACAACAAAAGAAGCTTGTAAATCTCACTCAATGGCATCGACAGAACTAATCGCTGACAATGAAGGGATTATGTGCTTTTATCTGTGTACAACATGGCAGAGTTGTGAAGAAATATTGTTATTTCTTCAACATAAATACCATATGTCAGCAAAAGGTCCAAAGTATGAAGATAAGAACGCGTAAGACTACGGACATTTTGAAAAAAACCTAATCGAGTCTAAGATAGCATTAGAGGCTGCATTTAAGCTATCACCTTCAAATTCAGCATGAATTTTAAAATCTCCTACTATAACAAACTTGTTATTATTCGACACTAAATCAGAAGGTAAAGACCTGATAGATGATCTAAAATTACTAACAAAAGAGATTTTGCTGCTTTAAAATTTGGATGTGGGAAACTACAGGTTGAATGTTCAAAAGAGTTGTAAATATTAACCGGCATTGGACTACCGTAATCAAACTATATTTAAAAAAAATGCTGCTACTACTCCCCCCCTGCCCAGAATTTCTGGGCATATGATAATGTAAATAGCTGAAGGGAGTTGCTGTCGTATATTTCTGCCGTCAGGTTTCTGTGAGACAACTTAAATTCATTTGATTATTACAAATCAGGTAATTACTTAAACTGTTTGAAGTGAGAGATCTTATGTTAATTGTTTGTTGTTTTGGAACTTTCATTACATTTCGTTACAGAAGTGTTACTTTTTTTTTTCAAATTTAGTTTTTCCTCCCCACTGTCGCTACAAGCATGCTTAGTGTGAGGAATTGCTGAAGAGTCAATGAGTAGACGCAATCAGCTGGTTTTCCTTAGATAGAAAACTTTGAATCAATCTGACTGGATGATCTGGTGAACTGGAAAGTGACCTGAGATGACATGATGTGAATTGGAGCTATAGAAATAAACTGAATAGAATTGAACTGAATTTAGCAAAATACTTTAAAATGACTTTGCTGTACCTTGGCATAATATGTTAAATGTTTCTATCGTATTTCCAATACCGATTTGTTATTTTAAAAAATGTACCGTATTTTCCAGACTATAGAGCACATCACAGTATAAGCCACGCCCCCCAAAAAACCAAAAACAAACAAAAAACGTACATATTATAAGTCGCACTGGGCTATAAGCTGCTGATATCTACTGAACTGTCTCCCACCAAACCTGTAGGGGGAGCTCTACATTTAGCCCCTGGAGTAGGGACAAAGAAGAATGCTAGCTCCCGTTAGCCTGTTAGCTAGCAGCAGTAACAGCTTCTACTGAGAGATGGAGCTTCATCAGCTTTTTATTTCAGCTCTGCAGGCGATGAACACAGTCTCTTCATCGGTTCAGCAGCTTTTATGTGGCAAATAATGTCAAAATGAGAGAATTTGTTCTCGTCGTTCCCGCTGCTAGCATATCGTTGTGCTAAATGAAAATTAGCCCCTTATTCTTCATTTCCAACTTGAACTTCCCGCTCTGGCGGTTATGTAACATCCACAGAAAAGCCGTACCTTCTTATAAGCCGCACGGCACAAAACGGGGGAAAAAAGTAGCGGCTTATAGTTCAGAAAATACGGTAGTTTTTTTTGAAAATGGCCTCTTAGGCTACGTTCACACTGCAGCCTGAAGTGACCCAATTCTGATTTTTTTGCCCATATGTGACCTGTATCTGATCTTTTTATGACAGTCTGAACGACACAGATCTGATTTTTTCAAATGCGACCCAGGCCACTTGGATATGTGGTCCTGAATCCGATACGTATCTGATCTTTTCAAATGCGACCTGTGTCTGATCTTTTTATGACAGTCTGAACGACACAGATCTGATTTTTTCAAATGCGACCCAGGCCACTTGGATATGTGGTCCTGAATCCGATACGTATCTGATCTTTTCAAATGCGACCTGTGTCTGTACGGCCAGGTCGCATTCATCCGACCTACACGTCATTGATACTTGGCTTCGACTCCGCACCCACACGCTTCTCTGTACGGACGTTGCTAGTACTGCCCCACAAAACGCCATTGCAAGAAATCTGGCTCTCTTTCTTTTTGATCTTCTTAAAAAGATTTCGTTCGTAATGTGCCTGCTCCTGTTGGAGAAGAACTTAAAGAACGCAATATACGCTGCGGTGTTACGAGTCATGTTTACTTCCTCAAACACTGAGGACGCTTGCTACAAGTGACGTCATCGCGTCCTCGAGTGCGCATGCGGGACACTTCGGTTGAACGCTTTCAGTTCACACAGTAGATCACATACAAGTCGCAAATACTTGGAAGTGTGAACGGACACGCAAAAAAATCAGAATTCACAAAAAAATCGGAATTGAGCATTAAGGCCTGCAGTGTGAACGTAGCCTAAGTCACCCAGTGTTTCAATATCAGCTCAATAATGAAGCAACAAAATTCACTCCGTACACCAACAGTTTAGCCACATGAACTAACCAGGCTCTGAAATGTTTTTTTTTTGTTTTTTTTAAGAAAACTCAAATTGTAAACCTTCCCAATATTTACAGAAAAAAAAAAAAACTCATCAAGTTTACTAAAGAGCCGACAATTTCACAGAAAAAAAACCCTGCCTCCTTTGATCGGCTGGCTGATTTATGGGCTTCAAACAGTTGCTTTGCTCCTCAGCATGCTTGGCCATGGCTGATTGAGATGGAGGAAGGGTGTGAGTGTGCGCTTTCATGTCACTGTGTATTGGGGGGGGTGTCTGAAGCGATACATGTGCACCTAGAAGCACACCTGCCCTACGGTGACCTCAGCAGCACCGCTCACATTTGGTTCTAGTTAGCCTCCACCGCGAAATTAGCTTTTCTGTGGGAAGGGGGGGTCGGGTGGGTGGTGAGACAGCAATCTGAGCAGTGAAAGGATGGTGGCGGTGAGGATTATAATCTACTTCACAACCCCAAAGCAAATCTAGCAGAATATTTCCCCTCCAGCATAAGGATGAGTTAGCAGCACGGCTCGGCTAGCATACGAGGGCTGGCGGTCTGTAGCTGCGTCTCATAAAAACACACTTAAGGTAAACGTAAAGAAGCTTACAGCATCTGCAGGTTGGGGAGGCCGCGGAAAGCTCCGCCGGCGATGAAGCTCACACGGTTGTTTCCGACGTGGAGCTGGTCCAGCAGGCTGAGGCCATCGAAGCTGGACTCTTCCAGCCTGGACAGGTGGTTGGAGGACAGGTCGCTGCAGGCCAGGAAAACAGTGAGAAAGATCAGAACGGATCGGAAGCCTCAACGTTTAAATATGCTTTAACACCCAGCTGCACCACAGTCTCATGCTTCTACTGCCGTGCTTTATAGTGAAAACGTCTATACTTTTTTTATTCATCTTATGGAGGAAAGTCTGTCACATTTTTAAAGTTAACACTCCCAAACAGCAGTGAGTGTAAAAATAAGTCTATAAAGGCAGAATGAAAATACAGCAACAATCATTCTGGTTTCTGAAAAAGTTTGAAACTTTCTTTAAATCAATTCACATTAAAAACCGCTTTCTGTCAGTTTGTCTCACTAAATATGAGCCATAACTATTAAACGTTTGGGTTAGGGATGCACGATATTGTGATTTTGGCCGATATCCGATATGCCGATATTTTAAAACTCATGTAGCCGATAACCGATATCGATACCGATGTTAAAGCTGGACAAAAATAAGTAGTCATTGAAAATAGCAGTTTTGTTATCCATTTCTGACACTTTGAAAAATAATAAACTGAAATATATTTTCATATGCTGATATCAAATAGATTTTTAAAACGCGGTATCGATCTATTTTACTTTCAAAATCTCGTGAAATTTCATCGTTCTGTTACAAACTCTCGTGATATTTTGCAAATTCTTGTGCGATTTTGTTAGTAAAATAGATCAATACCGCGTCAATATATCAACATATAAAAATGATAACTTAGTATACACCTATCTTAAATTAATAGCCCCCCCCCCTCTCAGGAGAAAACTCCACCAGCCGCCACTGGTTGAAACGTTTCTGTGAAATTCGTGGTTTTTTAATGTGGAAGATTTGATTTTCTGAGCCTATCAGGAATAAATGCTCGATGGATGCGGACTCACAGCTTGCTGAGCTTCTGGCAGCACCTCCAGGTGTCCGGCTGGATCCTGCTGATGGCGTTGTGTTCCAGGTGGAGCTGCTGCAAAGCCTCCAGCCCATACAGCCACCCTTTGCTCACCTCCGTCAGGTTGTTAAAGCCGAGCTGCCTGTAGCCGAACACAGGTCAGGGTTCGCTTTATGAAATCACGTCTAAAGGAAATCAGCCCAGAGAGAACTTACAGGACTTCCATGTTGCTGAGGCCAAAGAAGGCTCCGTCCATCAGCCCAGAGAGGCGGTTCCTCTGCAACTTTAAGGAGCGCAGAGTAGGTAGGTCCTGGAAGGTCAGGCCCTCCACCCGACGGATCTGGTTTCTGCACAAATCCCTGGGAAAAAACAAAAAATTTAAAAAACCCTCTTTGTTTAGAGGGGCAAACGTCCTGCAAACAGTCTGTAAGAAGAAGGAGCTTACAGATGCTGCAGGTTGGGCAGCTGGAAGAGCCGAGCTGGGATACTGGAGATCCGGTTATGGCTGAGTTCTAGGACCTGCAGAGTCCCGGCCAGGTTGGCGGCCCAGCCCAACTCCAGTGACGAGATACGGTTGTTGCAGAGGAACCTAAACGGATGAACAGGAGCTAGCTTAGCATACATTCTAATATGCATTACATTTACAAAACAAAAAAAAAAAACTCACAAGTTCCTGAGAGGCAGAGCGGGGAAGGAGTCCATCTTTATTTCCACTATTTTGTTGTTGCTGAAGTCGAGTGTTTGCAGGGAGGAGAAGGACCGGAGCCGCTCCTCTGAGATCCCGCTGATCCGGTTGTTTGCTCTGAAAACACAGACGCCATTACTCCAATAACGCTGATATCTGACCACGGTTTCATGCAAACAGGCAAGTCCTCAAATTCCACCGCAGTATGAAAAAAAAAGTCAACCCCTCACGAACGCTGCCACCCAACATGAAACCCTCTGACATCACGTTTCTAAGCTAATGCTAGGTGTATTTATCGTAACAGGCAGCTAATTGTCCAATATGACTAACGTCGCTGCTCATCCCATCAAAACAGCCCCAGCTTTAGCCATGTGTTATTTTGTTTATAAGGTAATTACCAACAAGGTATTTAAAAAAGTTACCCGCCAATTACTTGGCTGATGAATCCCGTTCCCTCAGTGAAAGCATGCCTCAGCAGAGGCCAGCAATTTCCTGAGCTGCACGCCTCCTAAATTGCAGTGCAGGGACTGCTTGGTTATAAACAGAGCTGCACAGTGCCCTCTTTGTGAGGGGGGAGAGAGTGGACGGGAGGGAGGGAGGGAGGGAGTCCCTCCAGTGCTCCAGACTACAGGCCCCGTTTCAGCGGCGGCGGCGCTTTGCAGCGTTTGGACTTATTTTATGGAGACAAACACGAGGAAAGGAGATTTCCTGATTAATTTATGTCTCGATTCTTGATAAAAAAGGTGCCATTTAGCTGCATTTAAACATCCTTTTTTTGTCCCCTCTAAATCAGAAAAAGAAAACATCCATCCATTCATTTTCTGTCACGCTTATCCTGAGCGGGGTGGCGAGGGGGGCTGGTATCTCCAGCCGTCTACGGGGTCGACCCTGGAAAGGCCGCCGGTCCATAAGGACACCTAAGGAGGATCTAGAGAAGCCAATTAACCTAACAGTCAGGTTTTTGGACTGTGGGAGGAAGCTGGAGTACCCGGAGAGAACCCACACGTGTTCAGGGAGAACATGCTAACTCCATGCAATAAGACCGGGAATCAAACCCAGAACCTTCTTGCTGCAAGGCAGCAGTGATATCCACTGCACCACCGAGCAACCCAATAAAAACATTAATAGAAGAGAAAGAAACATTAATAATAATTATTTTGGGAGTAGTTTCCTTATCTGTACCTGTTACTTTTACTTAATTTGTAATTTTGTGAGTAATTCTTTTGGATAACCTTACTTACAATTTTTAAACAAAATTCTATTCAGTTTATTTCTATAGCTCCAATTCACATCATGTCATCTCAGGTCACTGGATATAGATCCAGATCATCCAGTCAGATTGGTTCAAAGTTTTCTATCTAAGGAAAACCAGCTGATTGCATCGACTCATTGACTCTTCAGCAATCCCTCACAGTAAGCATGCTTGTAGCGACAGTGGAGAGGAAAAACTCCCTTTGAACAGGAAGAAACCTCCAGCAGAACCAGGCTCAGTGTGAGCGGCCATCTGCTGAGGCCGACTGGGGTTCAAAAAATTAGATATTAAACTATAAATATTGTAGCTAATTGAGGTTCTTTATCCTTTCCTTAGCGTTTTTCAGGTCTGTGCTACAAACTGCAGGCAGCAGGATAATAAAAGCCAACATATTCTGCCGGCAGGTTTCTACATTTGAAGTTAATTTAGTCGTTAATAAAGTGTTTCAGAGGAGTGATCATAGCGCTCTGCATCAGCAGTGCTGCGTCTGACTCCCTGCCAGCTCCCAGATCAGCTTCTCTCATTGGTTGATGAGGCGCGTCCAGAGGATAAAGTTCCATTTTTCCAACTCCAGCAGCTGCTGCTCTAGACGCTGCAGGACCTTTTGCTGCACCTTGATGCGACTTTGCATGTAAGCTAGCTGCTTCTGCTGCTTGCAGTCTGTATGTAGCATGAAGCCGGGCGTACGCTGTATGATTTTTTTTCTCTTTTCGGGGTGACTTTCCAGTCATGCAAGAGTTTTTCAATCGGGCTGACTTTCAGCCCGGTGGTGTGTAGGGGTGTAAATAATTATCGTTTCGTATCGATGCATCGGTCCAACAGCCGACGATCCGATGCATCGACACGTCCACAAGAGAATCGATTCATGTTTTTTTCCTCCGGTCTATTTTTATCCATTTACTCCTGGGTGTAATTCTCCTCCCGTGCTGCGGTGGCGCTAAACCTATTTTGCCCTCCTACCTCGCTTCCTGGTTATACTCTTACAGCAGTGTGTCGCAGTGAGCTTGATGCAGACATTTTTTATTTATGCTCAGTATTGAAGCGTGGTCTGAGCTACACGCTGTGGGTCCAGATACGGCCGAGGCGGCGAGGAAGTGGGGGCGAGTTTAGTCCGACGACGGAGGGACATGAGGGCCAAAAAGAGCGGAGATCCAGATGCAAAAAGGGTCCCAGCGTTCTCGCGCACCTCGCTCTTCTAGCGGGTCAAACTTCACGAGTTGTTTTCCGCAATTTTGGACATAAAAACAAAACAAGCCGGCCTCCTGTCTGCGGCGCTGTCTGCGGTCAGCTACAATCTGGGAGAGGAGCAGCGGAGTGTCAGCAGAGGGGGCGGGGCGTCTGGAGCCGAGGTATTGCATTGAACTCATTGCACTGATTCTCTGCAGTATTTTTTGATGCAACTTTTCTACTTCTGTTATTTGCTGTTGTTTCTAAAAAAAAAAAAAAAAATGCGTAACGATATTTCAGCTTTCATTGATTTATTTCAAATTTGAAACATTGTCTAGCCTGTAAGGTGTAAAAAAAAAAAAAAAAAAAAAAAAATTAATCTATTAATCGAATCGTGGTGTATTCTTGAGTATCGAAAATAATCGAATCGTTGGGTCAGGAAATCGATACTGAATCGAATCGCCATGATGGATGTGATTTACACCCCTCGTGGTGCTTGGTGTCATGTACAGCGGGTAACGAGGGGCGATCAGCCTCTAACGACCACCTCCCCATCAGGAATCGTAGGTCGGGAGAAAAAATTAAACATGTTTGAAAATTAGTCGGCCGTCATAAGGTGGTCGTGGGCAAATCGCTCAGTGGGAAAACAAGGATTCTTCTTCTTCCTCCTCTCAGCTGAAAACACAGAATCATGGCTGGGGTGTAATGATTGAAATGGAGTTCGTCGCAACGATTGAAAAAAACGCACAGTGTTTGCCCGACTTTAAGGAAAAAAATTTACTCCATATATCCTGATCAAAGAGTCTATCTCAACTTAAAATTACTAAAATTTGAATTATGGTTCTTTTTACCACCACTACACTGAAGCATTATGGGAATAAAAACTGGATAAGTAGAACAGAAAGCATATTAAGGAAAATTAAACAGTCTTTAACATTTTGGTTTACGTTATTGTAATCTGGTTGATGGGGAACCCTGAAAATGTCTGCGGTCGTCCTCTGGATCCATCGCTGCGATGAAAGACGGTTTGATGGGAGACTCAGAGGTCTGCACGCTCCACAGCCTTCTGGCTCCAAACAAAAGCTGATCAGTTTTCAGGCTCTCCAAAATGGACACCCAGTGGGAAATTAGAGGCACACAGGCGAAGAATTAAATTCCATGTAGACTTTACAGTTTTTATACCGGCGACACCGAGTTCACAAGAGCTCCGACCTGCCGGAGTCCAGCAGACCAGACCCCACAAACGGTGAAAAAATGGGAAATCGTGAGAGCTTTCCCCGACGCCTGCCATTGTTGACATGTGTTTTCTGTAAACCGACGTCCACTAAGCAGCGAATAATTTTAATAGAGCGAGATTTTCAAACGGAAAGAAGCTTTTTCTTCCCTTTAAACCGTCCCACTGGTGTGTGTGTGTGTGTGGTATTTCCTATTGGAAAAAGAACAGAGTTTTGGTGCTCGATCTGATGGCTCCCCTCTCACAGCCGTGGCGCCGCTAATGAAAACCAGCGCTGCGTTCACTGCTCAGACGCCGTATTAAACTTGTCAGATATCTTACACACACGAGGCTCTGCTTTTTAACTCCCCTTTTTCAGACTATTTAAGGCTTTTATTGTCTTAAATCTTAAAAATGATCAATGGAAACTAATCAAACACATATTGAAAATGATCATAATCATCCGTTTTTTCTTATTCTTATCGTCTTTGCAGGCCAAATCTAAGCCGTTGTCCCAATGGTGACTTTGGGGATTTGTTGGTGGTGGGGGCCCAACCCCCTCCCCCATAAATTCCAAGGAAATTGTTCAATTAATTAAGATGATCTCGACTGAATTACTACCAGCTGCAGGGTTGTTGCCGTTTGTTTTTACTTGAAGCTGAGAGGTCAAAGAAGTCGGCGAGAGCTGCCGCTATGTCTGACTGGCTGTTTGAATAAGTGCTATTTGATACCCTCAGCTTCTTTTTTTTTCTTCTTTTTTAACAACCCTCCCAGCTCAGGGAAACCGAAGGAGAGAGATTCTTGAAAAGTGTCCCACTGGTTAGAAAAGGAGAAAAAAAATCATAGTGAACTGCTCAATATTTGGGAAGAAAGTTAAGAAGTGAAGCCTTCATGTGAAAGAAAGCAAGGATCTTCTCCCATATTCCACATGCAAAGTATTTATACTGTAAAAACTGTTTATTTTCTGTTATTTTAAACACTTTTAAAGTCGTAGGGAAGCGGCTGCTCCGAACGTTGCATTTCCGAATTCTCCAGAGTGGTGATCACCTTTACACGAGTGAATAAAGTGAATTGGTCGATTATCAAGGGGGCGGGATTGTTGTGGCGGAAGGTTTGGTTGTAGCCGGTATGTCTGAAGCATCTTGCTAACCAGTTAGCAACTTAGTGCTAGTAGGTTCCCAATGGGAAATTCCATTGGGAACCAAGTAGCACTAAATTGGTGACTAAGGCCCCGTCCACACGAAGTCAAAACGAACACGAAACGCTAATATTTTCCAGAACGTTTGTCGTAAAGACAGAGACGTAAAATAAATGTGATCGTCCACACGAATGCATGAAAACGCTGCAAAATGTATGCCAGGCCTGTAAGTGGCGCTGTGGTGCCAAAGCAAAAATAGGCGACGAAATGTTGGGCATGCGCACTAATATTTATACATGGTTGCCCTGCGGGTCCATTTTGGTGGTTCAGTCAAATTCAGGTGCTGAACTATGTGGTCGATATTGCTCTGTTCTTCCTGGAGATATTCCAGAAGAAGAAGATTCTGTTGTAAGCCCGACAGCAGGGTGAGTAGCATTAGCAGCAACCATTCAACACAGTACGGCGCCATTGTTGTTGTGATACTGTGTCGCGCATGCGTGTTTAGAGGCGACGCTATGACGCATGCGTGTAAGAAAAAAAATGCGGTTAGAGCTTAAAGATGGAAACGCGAAAACGGCGTTTCAAAATCTTCCCACTCTGAAGGCTGAATAAAAAAAGATCGTTTACAGATCCCCGAAACGCCGGCTTCGTGTGGATGAGAGGCTGGTTTGGTGAAAAATTTGTGCGTTTAGGCCAGGGTTTGACTTCGTGGGGACGGGGTCTAAGAAACGACGATGTCAAGGAAAAGGTGAGCTTCAATGACCGCCTGAAACCGTAGTTCACCACAGATATACGCCTGAAAGTTCGCAGAAAAAGATCGCTAACAGGACGAGCACGTAGGACGGCCTTATGGAAACATGTCACCAGAATGATTGACAGTTAGGAGGACCACTTATTTAGATGATCCACCCGGAAAGCGAGGAGGAGAGCGAGTTTTGTTAAAGGAAGAGTCATATTCAGAATTCAAACTTCTGAAAGTTCTTTAAATCTGAAATGATTCCATCCTGTTCAATAAATGATCAGTGTTTTTAATTCAGAGTAATTTTCATGTGAATGTGCTTTACTGGAGGCATCCATGTTTGTCAAAGAACACTACTGCCACCTACTGGTTAGTGACGTCACGGTGCGGTATCGGCTGTTGATCAAGTCCCAGTGCTGTATCTGGTGTTTGTCACAACGCGCTATTATCCAAGTCATCTTGAAAACATTCTTCTTCCAAATGTTGGCTACATATTACGGGTTTTTTCTCTGGCCAGAAGTTCGATGGCAAATCCTCCCTCTTCAAGTTGGCGATCCAACGACCAACCCGTCCGTGGAGGATCAGGAATCAGAAAGGTGGAATAACTCTTTTTTTAACTTTTCCCCGATGTATTCCAGCATCCAGCTGCGATGCACGTGGGCATTGTCAGTTTCACTATAGCTCTGTTGAATTTCAACGGTGAAGTCCTCTGGAAATCTTCAATAATTGTTGTTGATTGCAGATGTGTCTAGTAGTTCCCATTGATTTAGCTTGTAAAGCGGGGAGAATGGCGCTAGGCTTACCGCACCGTGACGTCACTGCTGGAAGATGGCAGGAGGGAGGGGCTACTATATTTGGGCAAAAATGGCCGCTCCCAGACTCTGTGATCGCCATGAAAATTGTTAATTTCTGTACTGATTAATGCTAAATTCGTTAAATCACTGCGAACGTATTAGTTTTAGGTAGGGATGTACGATATTGGGATTTTGGCCGATATCCGATATGCCGATATTTTAAAACTCATGTAGCTGATAACCGATATCGATACCGATGTTAAAGCTGGACAAAAATAAGTAGTCATTGAAAATAGCAGTTTTGTTATCCATTTCTGACACTTTGAAAAATAATATACTCAAATATATTTTCATATGCTGATATCAAATCGATTTTTAAAAACGCGGTATCGATCTATTTTACTTTCAAAATCTGGTGAAATTTCATCGTTCTGTTACAAACTCTCGTGATATTTTGCAAATTCTTGTGAGATTTTGTTAGTAAAATAGATCGATACCGCGTCAATATATCAACATATAAAAATATGTCAACATTTCGTGAATTTTCGTTGGATTTCGTAGCATAACGATGACTTATAGCAATATTTCATTAGTAAAAGAGATTGATATGGTGTTTTTAAATGGCAATATATCAACATATGAAGATGTTGGGATATTTTAATGGATCAATATCTTTTTCCTCGTCTTTAGAAGTTTTTAAGTCTGTAAAAAAGAAGTTTTTGAGGAAGAAGAAGAAGTAGTATTTTATTTATTTATTTTAGACTTTAGAAACTCAGAAGCTGATCAAATATCGGGTTAAATATTGGTGGGGTGGCCGATGTCCGATATTCAGTTTTAAGTCCGATACCGATAGGGGGCCGATTATATCGTGCATCCCTAGTTTTAGGTATAAATAATAATCCATTGATTATTCCTTGCTGACCGGACTTTTCCTTTAAATCCAATTAAGGCGTTAGTTTTAAATTAAAGAACTTTATCTTTAATACTTTTTCATGGATCGGCAGAAACCCCGTTTACTGAAGCGACCGGGGGAATAAATGCATCAGAGAACTGTCCCAGTCAGTGATACTAAAAGTCACGGCGTCCCACAGTCTTATCCCATCTTCTCTTAGGGGGGGTCGTGTTTCTTGACCTATTTATTATCAGAAACTCAGACTTTATTTGGGGAGATTTAAATAGAACCATCACAGATTTTTTTTTTATTCCCTGGAAGCTTCAACATAATAATAATGAACACGATTTATGAACATTAGAGACAATTTTCAATGAGAGGTCACTTGGTGTGCTCATTAAAATGCTTAAACTCCTTAAAAAAGGGGGAAGTATACCTGTCTTACTTAGTATTTTATTGCATGTTAGGCGATTATAAAAAATCAAAGTCTAAGCAAGGATTAAATGTAACAGAACTCGATTCTAAGAAACAGAGAATAATCCCCTTCCCTGTTGGAAAAGTTCTGGGAAAGAAAGAAAAAAAGGCTGTGCTGCTCATGTTTCTTTGCTTAGAAAAAAAAAAATATTGCTGCAGGTGAGATTTCTCTCCCAAAAACTGCAAACAAATTGTTGATTGAGTCGGAGCGCAGCCTGCGGCGGCTGCTGCCGCCCGTCGTGTTTGGGCTTGATGAGGAATACGCCTCGTCTAGCAACATGTGCATTCCTCCGCCGCAACTTCACGCTGGGCAGCTCTGAGAAATGCGCCGCAGACCCAATGAAAATTGTTGAGGTTTCACAGACTAATATCTGGAGCGATTCTGAAAGCACGTCTTGCAAAACAAGATTCCAGACAATTACCAGCTCACAGTTTGCAGGGGAGAAAATGGCTTTTTTTGCTTTTAATTCAGTTTTCTTTCTTTGTTTTCTTACGGCACTAATATCCTCTTAAAGAGTGGAATTAAAACGATTTTAAATCCTCTTCCCAGACAGAAGGGAAAATGTTTCCATTAGCAGCGGTGACATTTGTGCTCCGCCGTGTCTCCAAGTCTGGGAACGAGCCGAGTCGGACCCACAGCAACAGTCCAGATAACCGCCGTTAAAACTCGCTACCAAAAAAACTTTTACTTACAGGATGAGCGTGGTGATGTTGGACGCATGAGGACCCAGATCAGGAACGGCCTCCAGTTTGTTGTGATTCAGCTTTCTGCGGATGTAAAAGAAGAGCAAACTTTAACGACACCGAAGGATGAATAACGGCTACTATTAAACCCGAGCAAAGAAAACACAGAATACTCACAGTTCATTTAAACAGACCAGTTTGGAAAACAGATTCCTGTCCAGAACTTGCAATCTGTTATGGCTCAGGTCTCTGTGAAAGGAGCAGAAAGTAATATAAATGCACAACCCTCTTTTTCTAACTTCCCCATAATATCTTGGCCATGCCTGGCATCATGGAACAGGAAGGAATTTTATTTAGTTAAAAACACCAGAATTACATTTTTATAGATAGTAAGCGTACTAAAATACGTTTTAAATCAGGGGCCTTCAATGATTTCCAGGCCAAGGACCCCAAACTGATGGTGAGATGGAGCAGGGACCCCATAATTATATATATATATTAGGGATGCATGATATTGGGATTTTGGCCGATATCCGATATGCCGATATTTTAAAACTCATGTAGCCGATAACCGATATCGATACCGATGTTAAAGCTGGACAAAAATAAGTAGTCATTGAAAATAGCAGTTTTGTTATCCATTTCTGACACTTGAAAAATAATAAACTCAAATATATTTTCATATGCTGATATCAAATATATTTTTAAAAACGCGGTATCGATATATTTTACTTTCAAAATCTCGTGAAATTTCATCGTTCTGTTACAAACTCTCGTGATATTTTGCAAATTCTTGTGAGACTTTGTTAGTAAAATAGATCGATACCGCGTCAATATATCAACATATAAAAATATGGCAACATTTGGTGAATTTTCGGGGGATTTCGTAGCATAACGATGACATATAGCAATATTTCATTAGTGAAAGAGATTGATATGGTGTTTTTAAATGGCAATATATCAGCATAGGAAGATATTGGGATATTTTAATGTATCAATATTTTTTCCCTCGTCTTTAGAAGTTTTTAAGTCTGTAAAAAAGAAGTTTTTGAGGAAGAAGAAGAAGTATTATTTTTTATTTTTTTTTAGACTTTAGAAACTCAGAAGCTGATCAAATATCGGGTTAAATATCGGTGGGGTGGCCGATGTCCGATATTCAGTTTTAAGGCCGATACCGATAGGGGGCCGATTATATCGTGCATCCCTTATATATATTGTAATAAATAGTGTTCTATCAAACTGGTCCTATAGTCCCTCTATTACAGATGGAGTAATGTAACTAAAGTAATCCCTCCCTGGGATTATTAAAGTATTTCTGATTCCTGGTTGATGGGACAGGTGTTGTGAATGAAACGGTGTCCAGCTTGAAAGAGCTCCTGTGTGTCTCTGAATGTGAGCATTGATGACTGAAAGACATCTGCCTCCATTTATCTGTTTACTACAGTCTGTTGGATTCATGTTCATGTGGATTTAAAGATATTTCAATTAGTGGAAAAAACTTCAGGGGGGATTAGAAAAAAAAAAGTCTGATCAACGAGAACTTTGTGACCTCTATGCAGTACCTCTGTAGCCCCCTAGGGGTCGTGGACCCCCTGATGAAGACCTCCGTCTTAAAGGTTAATAATTTATTTCCTTATAAAATAAATGCCTTAAAGGTACACTATGCAACCAGTGTTGATTTTCCAGCGAGGCTCCCCCCAGAGGGCGAAAGTAAAAGTGCCCTGTCGTAAATATGCTCAGCTGTTCTCCTGGTTTTGAGCTTAGCAGACAGGCGAACGCAACGAATCACCATGTCTACTGCGGTAAGTGACTATTTTGTTCCAATTTTTGAATTTGAACATTCTCGCTGGTTGTGCCTAGCCTGACGTAGTCCTACTCAATTCTTGTCAGAATGAGTCTGATACTGCTCCATAGAGCTGTGATTATGGGGCGTGTTTCGAACGAACTAGGAAAAAAAATGCCTCTGCACTCAATTGGATAGACCTACAACCAATAAGAGCAACGGAGTGCGTGACGTATGTTAAGCGACGAATAGTTGTTGTCCACAAAAATCAAAGCGTGCAGTTGCACGCCTAGAATAAGAAGATGAGCCTTGATCGCGTTTCTCTGTTCCTCTTTCAAAATTAATTTGCTGTCGATATCTTCTAGAACAGACCTAATAGCAGAATCCACTCACCTCAACTCTCCAGCGGCAGCCATTGTTGTTGTCACCCAAGCGCTCTTTGGTGACGTGGTTGATTACGTTACTGTTGATCATCTGTCCATCATCGTATAAAGCCCGCCCTGACAATTTGATTGGCCCGCCAGATATTGTGCTAGCATACTCGCGCTAGTGTTGAGCAATGCCAGACCGAACTTCCCGACCTTAAACGTTGTGGGCGGGACTAAGTTCAGAATGGCACTCAGGCTAGGTTCCGCCATGATAAATGCACAAATATCGCCACTGCGCTAGCAATGAGCATGCCTTTCACTTGGGGCAGGTAGCAGTTCTCGCCGTAAAGCAAGACCGACTCGCGATGCACGAGACTTCTGAGCCTGTGGGTGCGGGCCGAGGGCTCCTGCAATTGCAAGTACGGTATTTCCCCTACAGACCACCAGGGCGGCCGAGAAAACCTTTGTACGACCTGAAATGACTCATTTAATCATCCAAAACGTTATGGAACACATTAACTGAAAAATGTTGCATAGTGTGCCTTTAAAACCCTGTTTTATCCTCTGTTCCAGATCTGTACAGAAAATGGGATCCTACGCTACTTCCAGGAGCTAACTTTATCAGCTTTTTGAGTTTTATCTTTTCCTCTCATGTTAACATTATGCTATATATTTTATTTCATTTCATTTATATATATCATTTTTGTACCATAATTACATTATTTATGGAAACACAGATGTAAATCAGGATGTGCAGGACGGATCGGGTAATGACGCTGCCATCGCCTAGAAATCAGGTTTTTTTCCCATGTGTTAAAGGCATAACGTTATGGATGATTAAATGAGTCATTTCAGGTCGAACAAAGGTTTTCTCGGCCGCCCTGGTGGTCTGTGGGGGAAATACCGCACTTGCAATTGCTGGAGCCCTCGGCCCGCACCCACAGGCTCAGAAGTCTCGCGAGAGTCAGTCTTGCTTTACGGCGAGAACTGCTACACCCCCCAGTTAAAAGCATTCTCGCTGCTAGCACAGTGGCGATCTTTGTGCAGTTATGCTACGTTCCCGCAGCAAAAGCAGCAAAATCGCGCCTGCTGCTTCATTTTTGCTGCTTGTACCAGTTAGTTCTGACGCGCGGCTGAAGCAGCTTTGCTGCTCTGGCTGTGCGGTCCAAAAGTGGGTCTGACGCGCGTTGGGCGGAGCTTCACTATCCTTTCTCTGCCTTGCAGCTATATTTGCTGTGATCAGTGGGAATAAAGTAGTTTTAATATGTGTTTAAATGAGAAAATACACCTGAAAACGTAATCAGTGCAGTCAGTTCATCCAGATTATCATCCTGCCTTCAATATTATTTCTGTCGGAGCCGCTCAGACCCCCACATACCAGCGGGGCGCCGACAGAAGGGATCCCTTCATCAGCAGCCTCTGGCCAGGTTGCCTCCTCGCGGTTCACCGCGGCAGCTGGTAGGTGTTTTTCATCTAAATAATCCAAACTGCAGGCAGCAGGATAATAAAAGCGAACATATTCTGCCGGCAGATTTCTGCATTTTAAGTTAATTTAGGCGTCAATAAACTGTTTAAGAGGAGTGATCATAGCGCTCTGATCATCAGCGCTGTGTCTCTCTCCCTGCGTCAGATGATTAAACGCGCCCGACGCGCTGCTGTTTCAGCTGCTCAGATGCGCTGCGCCTGCTGCTCAAAACGCGCCGCGGGACCTTTTGCTGCGCCTTGACGCGCGTCAACCATTGACTTTGCATGTAAACTCGCTGCTTCTGTCGCGCCAGCTGCGGTGTGAACGCAGCATTAGTCATTCGTTGCGTTCGCCTGTCTGCTAAGCTCAAAACAACCGCGCCTGGCTTGACGGAGAAACCAGGAGAACAGCTGAGCATATTTACGACAGTGCGCTACAGTTCCATTGGAAGATTTAAATATGGAGAATTATGGTGTTTTTATTGAATAAAGTACGGCAATATGCATTAAACAGGCCTTTAGCTGACAGAGCGACCCACTTCCAGCAGGAATTATACCAAAATTATTAAAAATATACCGGTATGTAACAGAACATCTATCCAGTACTTCCAGTCCTCAAGTACAAACATTTTAGTTTCACCTGGTTTAATTTCATAAAAAATCTTCTTTAAGGAACCTTTCGCTATCCGATTATTAATAAAAAAATAACAGAATAACTGATTTTTAAAATGGTCGTTCACTGCAGCTAGATTTTCCAGTAAAATCCCAGGTGATGATCCCTAAAACAGCTTCCAGCTTTAAAACCAAACAAATATAGTATCTATAGATCCAGTTCACCAGATCATCAAGTCAGATTGATTCAAAGTTTTCTATCTAAGGAAAACCAGCTGATTGCATGGACTCATTGACTGCTCAGCAATCCCTCACACTAAGCATGCTTGTAGCGACAGTGGAGAGGAAAAACTCCCTTTGAACAGGAAGAAACCTCCAGCAGAACCAGGCTCAGTGTGAGCGGCCATCTGCTGAGGCCCACTGGGGTTCAAGGAGACAGAAGCAGACATAGAAAAAGAAGCATAGATACAAAAGGCAACTGTCAACCAGCTCCACAGGAAACACACAGCCAGGCAGACGAGCTCCGAGCCAGCTCCCATGTCAGAGGATGAAGAGAGCACATCCAGTTAGTCACAGTCAGAGAAACAGGACTACACTGGAAAACAGGCCAAGCTCCAACATCTAGAAACAAAGGTGTTGATGGCAGCAGCACAGCTGATATTTCTCTCCAGGATGGAGTCACAGCCAAACAACGACCCAGATTTTTCCAAACTGTACAGAGAGTAACAAACCACACCTGCTGCTCGTCTGCGGCTGAAAGCAGGTTACATCAATCAGCTCAGTAAACATGGTCTCTATGAAAAAGCTGGATTAATCCAGTAAACATATTTGGACATTTACAAAGTTAGGCTTCAGCCTAAAATCTAAAATAATCAAAGATGTTTAAGATGATTATGATTGCTGTAGAGGCCCGGCTCCTCCAGGCTGGGTGCGCTCTGAGCCACCGACTCCATAAAAGGTTGAATCGTGCAGAAAAAAACCACCTAATGAAGATATTTCCCAGCATGTCTGCAAACTAATCAAAGAACTACAGCTCTGCTGGTGCCAGCTGCAGTAGAGATTGTTGCTTTTCCCGCTTTAAACTATGCATTAAATATATATATTTTAAGCAATCCTCTGTAGATATTGGGACATGCAATCTAATTCAAAGTTTTCGTATAGTAAATAGAAATGCGTGTCATCCTATGTCTACGTAGAAATGCACAGATTTTAGATGCTTAAATGAACAGTTTGAAGAGCTCGAATCATTTCATATAAACTATTTTACAGTTAGTAGAGTTTTCTGCTGTGTTGAAGTTGGTCTGAGCGCTCAGTCAGCCGGGCTGCAGCTGACTGGGGGCCGCCCCCCGCTCCCCACAGCCTCTTCTTTTCTTTAAATGAACCTTAAAAGCAGCAGCAGAGATCTGGCAGGCGGAGCCTCACGCGCCATAAAGCGCCGCAGTTATTGGCGCTGCTGCGGACGATCAACGCTGTGGTACCAGATGCTTTTTAACACCTCCCCTCCTCCTCACTCTTACCTCCCTCATCTGGAATCCATCAAGGAGTCCTGGGGGGACAGGGGGGGCTAACAACTACTAATGTATTAGTAATGCCGGGAAAAGAACAGAGGAACGCCTTCTGAGCCTCTCAGCCCGTTTCTGCTCCTCGGCTGCATGAACTCATCAAGCTGAGTTTTACTTTTCTAAAACTCCCTCCCCCTTTTTCTCACCCGACGCCAACGTGTTGATGCAGCTCTGCAGGCCGTGTGGGAAAGGTGTCCAGAGATAAACTCTGCACTTCCATTTCCCTCACAAAGGAGGCAGTGAGTGCAGAAAGATAAGAGGACAGGCCGTAACCTGTGCGAACGCCGCGGCTGACATCACGACGCCGCACGGCCTCATCAGGCGCTGAGAAACTGATTCCCACACCTGCAGGGAAAATGTTTAATAAAGCTGCATTTTAGTTTCCGATTAGATTTAAGAATTATTCTGAACATTTGGCAGATAAATGAAAAAAAAGAGACCGGCTCCCTTTAAGGGCTGAGAGAGAAAAAAAATGCATCTATTTGTGTTTTTAAACTTGTTGTTTTTGAGAGTTACCCCGAACGGAGTGGGCGGTGCTACCACTCTACTCCAGTGGGAGGAGCCTAAGCAGTCATTACAAAACAAACTATAAAATAGGTCACTTTTTATCCTGTTTTACTTTGATAAAACACGAAAAAAAAAAATTTTTTTAGGTGGTATGTGGAAAACAAAAAAAAAATTTAAATAAAAAACGCTAGCTGGAAGAAAAGCAAAAAAAAATTTAGATTTTTTATTTAAAACAAACATCAGGTGGATTAATGATGTCAAGTGTTAAAAAGGATCATAATGACAAACATTTTAAGTATATTTTTTAATAAATTACAGCAATCAATACTTAACTATCAACTAAAACCAATGACAAAGCTAATGTGAATTAGCATAAGCAAAAATGCTAACAGGTACAGTGGTACGAGTTAGGCCTGGGCAAAAAAATAAAAATAAAAATAGATTCAATTAATAAATTTTGTTGCGGGCGATTTAAAAAAAGAAAAGAAGGCACAGATTTTTTTTTATGACGGCACATTTTTGGCACCTCGTAGTTTCTGTAGCTAAAGTATTACGCTCAGGTTGCAGATTAGCTAGTAGCAGCATCACAGGAAACGGCTAACGACATCATAACTACAGGTAAGTGAGAAGTTTGTTTTTGAAAAAGAGGAATAAAATCATCTATGCATTTTTTTTTAAACGGTCAGAAAAGAATTCCGGTCCAGATAGCTAACAAGCTAGCTGTTAGCTAACATAAGCATGGCTGCCAATAAAAAAAAAAAAATGAAAAACTTAAATCAGATAAAAAAATAAATCTGACATTTCATTTTTAGGAGTTGTCGCCCAGCCCTAGAACAAATATGCTTACGGGTCGATCCAACAAGACTGAAGCCATTTTGCTAGGTTACCAGTAGGTGGCGTTACATAGAAAAAGTTTTACCTTTGGCATTATCAAGGCTTTTATTTGTTATTTATTTTGTGAGCTGCTCATTTTTTTAAATTACTGTAGCGTGTTATAGAGACACACTAGATGATGAAGCCTTCAAAATAAAAGTTTTGCTCTTTAGACACTTTCTAATAGCTTTAAGTTGTTTTGCTACGTTGTCATTTTTAATACGTCTAAAACTATAAAGACTAGAGTCTGGAACAGGCTTCAAAAGTTTATCACTATAGCGCCGATCATTTTGGTCCTTCTGGGGTCGACAATTCCAATGTGCCAGAGGAAGATTTAAGGCTGTTTTCAATTTATTAATCAATGTTTGGATTTATATTTTCACATATTAACCATATATGGCGCTATTTTAATGAACGCGTTTTAACCAAATTTCTTCCTCTCCTCCCATCATCCTAATCAGAGCCATATAAGCGAATGAGAAAAAAAGTTTTAAAAAGTTAAACTGTTTGCCATTTTTTTTTTACTATTTACCTCCATCGTTCATTAAAAAATTTAAGTTTGGTTTTAAATCAGAATTAATATCTTCATTCTAGTAAATTTCTTAAATAAATGGATTCTTGTCCTAAAATAAAGTCAGTATTAAAAACAAAAAAAACAAATTTGAAAACATGTGTTTTCATTGTCTTCCAGCAGCAGCCCCACCCCCACCTCTTTCTTACTTCATCCCCTCTTCTAAATCATTATTCCAGCAAAAATTCAAATGAACCAGAAGAAGATTTATAGTTATTTCCAATCATCTAATCATTTTTAATTGGGTTTATGTACTGAGGGACAGGAGGAGACTGATAAAACTAATCATTATGTTGATAATCGATTAATCTGACAATTATTTGTGTGAATAATCAGATAACAAAAGGTTCCTTAAAGAAGATTTTAAACAGAATAAAACCAAGTGGAACTAAAACTTTTTGACTTGTGGAATTCTTTAGTTTTTTTTCCATCTTAAATGCAAAATTTTGATATATTTTTTTCACAATCTTGGTATAATTAGTGCTCTGAGTTTGTCCCTCTGTCAGCTAAAGCCACGTTTTAGAGTCGCTATACTCCAGTTAACGATTGATTACTAAATTAGTTGATGACTATTTTAATATTCGATTAATCATTTCAGCTCTAGTTGCATTTAAGGTTATTTTGGTCTGAAGGTCTAAATGAGGCAAAGTTTAAAAAGTGAAATAAATCATAAATTATTTTGTTTAACTTTAGTTTTATTTTAGATTGAAAGCATTTTAACAAATATATAACTATTTCAGCATATTATTCTCTTCACAGCAAATTCCTTCAACAGCCGCTCCCCCCTCCTCCATCTATTGCTGAGGGTTTGCCCCCCCCCCCCAGCCCAGAGCTACACGCTCCTCCCTAATCAGAACCACTGCTGGCCCTGCTGCTGCTAATTCAGCAGAAATAATGGGGTGCTGGAAAACAAAGAGTTGAGCAGTTTAAGGGGTTTAAGATGTGCTGGAGAGCATCTCATAAATTAGCATCCCCCCTCCCCAGGCTGTTTCTGCCGCTTTCTGTGACAAGTTTCCACAGCAGCAACTTTCTGCCGGCGCTCAGTCAGATGCTAAATCCTAACATTTCTGTTTAAATCTGCAGCCAAACTGCCCAGATTTAGGCTTTAACCAAAGTCATTGACTTTCTGCACACAAAAAATAAAATAAAATTATTGCAAATTATGAAATTGGCTCTAAACCCACTGGAAAATTATTATTATAAACACAACAGGAGATTTGTTCCACTTACTTTTGAAGGGAGGGATTAAAATAGTTCCAGTTATTACAGAATCTGCAGCAAATAATCTGTTAAAGCCTAAATAAACTCATGTTTTAACTTTATTATTTTACTTTTGAGAAATTGGCAGATCAGTGACCGACTCCAATTTCACCCCCCCCCCCCCCCCAACACTAATGTGGGATTAGAGATTAGATCATTTTAGAGATAAAATCAGTGTAGATCTATATTAGATTGGGTGATGATCAGTGCATCTACATGTTAGATGTGGCCTCTCCTGCAGACACCCAGAATAAAAAAGGTTTGATCCTAATATTGGGGGGTGGGGGGGTTAAACCCAAACCAACCGAAGCTGATGAATAAAAGAAATAAATGAGAAATAAAGGATTTTAAAAGATAAAAAGATGTTTCTCACAGCTGCACCGTCCACTCCGGGAGGGGGTCTGGAATTCGGCCCCTTCTCACTCGGCCGCAGTCCACCCGCTCCCCAGAACACACGCAGGGAGGGGGGCAGGTCCCCGCGTGGGCCCCCGCTCCACGCTGCAGTCCCGCAACCAGCAGGAGAACCAGGGAAAAACCGCCCAACCCGCGGCGCTGCGTGACGGGAAGCATTCTTCTGTTCCACGGCAGGTTTCAGCTCGATGCTTTAAACTTAGTTCGCAGCGCGGTCGATCAAAGAAAAATCAAACAATAATCTGTAAAATGTTTGTTGGGATTAAATCCACCGCTTCGGTTCTTATATCCAATCCTTCATCCCTGCGTGGATCCAATCTGGGACAGAATCACACAAACATTTCCTCTCTAACTTTCCCATTCCACTGTGGAAACTTTTGCTGCTGCTGCTGCTGTCCTGAGTGGGCTCCCACAGCCAGCATGAGCACACAGCAGAGGTATGCGAGGGGAGGGCTCACCGGGCATGATGGGAAATGTAGTCTGAGCCTCAGAGAACAGCCATGATTGACTGTGGATGGAATTATAAGGATTAGGGCCACAGAAAGAAAGAAGTTAGCCGATTTTTAAATATTATTTCAGTTTAATGAGGGAAACAACTCAGAATTCTGTCTCTAATCTCAGAATTATTACTTTAATCTGACAATTCCAACTTTTTTTCTGAATTCTGACTTTTTTTTTTTTAGAATTCCAACTTTAATCTTAGAATTTTGACTCGAATCTCATAATTTTGATTTTAATCTCAGACTTCTGACTGAATTCTGACAGCTAACAATCATGTTATCATCCAGCTGTATCCATGTCTGTTTTAGAGACTAGCTTTCATGTTTTAATCACCTTCTGATCTTCCATTAATCAAATAGCATCAGCAGGGACCCTCAGGGACGGAAAAAGTCGCCTCATTCCATCATTTTCCACCAATGTGTTCCTGTTCCTCCCAAACAACTCACGTCAAGTTAGAATTCTCAGATTAAAGTCAGAATTCTCAGATTAAAGTCAGAATTCTCAGATTAAAGTCGGAATTCTGAGATTAAAGTCGGAATTCTCAGATTAAAGTCAGAATTCTCAGATTAAAGTCGGAATTCTGAGATTAAAGTCGGAATTCTCAGATTAAAGTCAGAATTCTCAGATTAAAGTCGGAATTCTGAGAAAAAAGTCAGAATTCTCAGATTAAAGTCAGAATTCTCAAATTAAAGTCAGAATTCTGAGAAAAAAGTCAAAATTATCAGATTAAAGTCAGAATTCTCAGATTAAAGTCAGAATTCTCAGATTAAAGTCAGAATTTTCAGATTAAAGTCAGAATTCTCAGATTAAAGTCAGAATTCTCAGATTAAAGTCAGAATTCTGAGAAAAAAGTCAGAATTCTCAGATTAAAGTCAGAATTCTCAGATTAAAGTCAAAATTCTAAGAAAAAAGTCAGAATTCTCAGATTAATGTCAGAATTCTCAGATTAGAGTCAGAATTCTCAGATTAGAGTCAGAATTCTCAGATTAGAGTCATAATTCTAAGAAAAAAGTCAGAATTCTCAGATTAAAGTCCGAATTCTCAGATTAAAGTCAGAATTCTCAAATTAAAGTCAGAATTCTCAGATTAAAGTCAGAATTCTGAGAAAAAAGTCAGAATTCTCAGATTAAAGTCAGAATTCTCAGATTAAAGTCAGAATTCTAAGATTAAAGTCAGGTTTTCAGATTAAAGTCAGAATTTTCAGATAAAAGTCAGAATTCTTAGATTAAAGTCAGAATTCTGAGAAAAAAGTCAGAATTCTCAGATTAAAGTCAAAATTCTAAGAAAAAAGTCAGAATTCTCAGATTAATGTCAGAATTCTCAGATTAGAGTCAGAATTCTCAGATTAGAGTCATAATTCTAAGAAAAAAGTCAGAATTCTCAGATTAAAGTCCGAATTCTCAGATTAAAGTCAGAATTCTCAAATTAAAGTCAGAATTCTCAGATTAAAGTCAGAATTCTGAGAAAAAAGTCAGAATTCTCAGATTAAAGTCAGAATTCTGAGAAAAATGTCAGAATTCTCAGATTAAAGTCAGAATTCTCAGATTAAAGTCAGAATTCTCAGATTAAAGTCGGAATTCCAAGATTAAAGTCAGGTTTTCAGATTAAAGTCAGAATTTTCAGATAAAAGTCAGAATTCTTAGATTAAAGTCAGAATTCTGAGAAAAAAGTCAGAATTCTCAGATTAAAGTCAAAATTCTAAGAAAAAAGTCAGAATTCTCAGATTAATGTCAGAATTCTCAGATTAGAGTCAGAATTCTCAGATTAGAGTCATAATTCTAAGAAAAAAGTCAGAATTCTCAGATTAAAGTCCGAATTCTCAGATTAAAGTCAGAATTCTCAAATTAAAGTCAGAATTCTCAGATTAAAGTCAGAATTCTGAGAAAAAAGTCAGAATTCTCAGATTAAAGTCAGAATTCTGAGAAAAATGTCAGAATTCTCAGATTAAAGTCAGAATTCTCAGATTAAAGTCAGAATTCTCAGATTAAAGTCGGAATTCCAAGATTAAAGTCAGGTTTTCAGATTAAAGTCAGAATTTTCAGATAAAAGTCAGAATTCTTAGATTAAAGTCAGAATTCTGAGAAAAAAGTCAGAATTCTCAGATTAAAGTCAAAATTCTAAGAAAAAAGTCAGAATTCTCAGATTAATGTCAGAATTCTCAGATTAGAGTCAGAATTCTCAGATTAGAGTCATAATTCTAAGAAAAAAGTCAGAATTCTCAGATTAAAGTCCGAATTCTCAGATTAAAGTCAGAATTCTCAAATTAAAGTCAGAATTCTCAGATTAAAGTCAGAATTCTGAGAAAAAAGTCAGAATTCTCAGATTAAAGTCAGAATTCTGAGAAAAATGTCAGAATTCTCAGATTAAAGTCAGAATTCTCAGATTAAAGTCAGAATTCTCAGATTAAAGTCAGAATTCTGAGAAAAAAGTCAGAATTCTCAGATTAAAGTCAGAATTCTCAGATTAAAGTCAGAATTCTAAGATTAAAGTCAGGTTTTCAGATTAAAGTCAGAATTTTCAGATAAAAGTCAGAATTCTTAGATTAAAGTCAGAATTCTGAGAAAAAAGTCAGAATTCTCAGATTAAAGTCAAAATTCTAAGAAAAAAGTCAGAATTCTCAGATTAATGTCAGAATTCTCAGATTAGAGTCAGAATTCTCAGATTAGAGTCATAATTCTAAGAAAAAAGTCAGAATTCTCAGATTAAAGTCCGAATTCTCAGATTAAAGTCAGAATTCTCAGATTAAAGTCAGAATTCTCAAATTAAAGTCAGAATTCTCAGATTAAAGTCAGAATTCTGAGAAAAAAGTCAGAATTCTCAGATTAAAGTCAGAATTCTCAGATTAAAGTCAGAATTCTAAGATTAAAGTCAGGTTTTCAGATTAAAGTCAGAATTTTCAGATAAAAGTCAGAATTCTTAGATTAAAGTCAGAATTCTGAGAAAAAAGTCAGAATTCTCAGATTAAAGTCAAAATTCTAAGAAAAAAGTCAGAATTCTCAGATTAATGTCAGAATTCTCAGATTAGAGTCAGAATTCTCAGATTAGAGTCATAATTCTAAGAAAAAAGTCAGAATTCTCAGATTAAAGTCCGAATTCTCAGATTAAAGTCAGAATTCTCAAATTAAAGTCAGAATTCTCAGATTAAAGTCAGAATTCTGAGAAAAAAGTCAGAATTCTCAGATTAAAGTCAGAATTCTGAGAAAAATGTCAGAATTCTCAGATTAAAGTCAGAATTCTCAGATTAAAGTCAGAATTCTCAGATTAAAGTCGGAATTCCAAGATTAAAGTCAGGTTTTCAGATTAAAGTCAGAATTTTCAGATAAAAGTCAGAATTCTTAGATTAAAGTCAGAATTCTGAGAAAAAAGTCAGAATTCTCAGATTAAAGTCAAAATTCTAAGAAAAAAGTCAGAATTCTCAGATTAATGTCAGAATTCTCAGATTAGAGTCAGAATTCTCAGATTAGAGTCATAATTCTAAGAAAAAAGTCAGAATTCTCAGATTAAAGTCCGAATTCTCAGATTAAAGTCAGAATTCTCAAATTAAAGTCAGAATTCTCAGATTAAAGTCAGAATTCTGAGAAAAAAGTCAGAATTCTCAGATTAAAGTCAGAATTCTGAGAAAAATGTCAGAATTCTCAGATTAAAGTCAGAATTCTCAGATTAAAGTCAGAATTCTCAGATTAAAGTCGGAATTCCAAGATTAAAGTCAGGTTTTCAGATTAAAGTCAGAATTTTCAGATAAAAGTCAGAATTCTTAGATTAAAGTCAGAATTCTGAGAAAAAAGTCAGAATTCTCAGATTAAAGTCAAAATTCTAAGAAAAAAGTCAGAATTCTCAGATTAATGTCAGAATTCTCAGATTAGAGTCAGAATTCTCAGATTAGAGTCATAATTCTAAGAAAAAAGTCAGAATTCTCAGATTAAAGTCCGAATTCTCAGATTAAAGTCAGAATTCTCAAATTAAAGTCAGAATTCTCAGATTAAAGTCAGAATTCTGAGAAAAAAGTCAGAATTCTCAGATTAAAGTCAGAATTCTGAGAAAAATGTCAGAATTCTCAGATTAAAGTCAGAATTCTCAGATTAAAGTCAGAATTCTCAGATTAAAGTCGGAATTCTGAGAAAAAAGTCAGAATTCTCAGATTAAAGTCAGAATTCTCAGATTAAAGTCAGAATTCTGAGAAAAAAGTCAAAATTATCAGATTAAAGTCAGAATTCTCAGATTAAAGTCAGAATTCTCAGATTAAAGTCAGAATTCTGAGAAAAAAGTCAGAATTCTCAGATTAAAGTCAGAATTCTCAGATTAAAGTCAGAATTCTGAGAAAAAAGTCAAAATTATCAGATTAAAGTCAGAATTCTCAGATTAAAGTCAGAATTCTGAGAAAAAAGTCAGAATTCTCAGATTAAAGTCAGAATTCTCAGATTAAAGTCAGAATTCTGAGAAAAAAGTCAAAATTATCAGATTAAAGTCAGAATTCTCAGATTAAAGTCAGAATTCTCAGATTAAAGTCAGAATTTTCAGATTAAAGTCAGAATTCTCAGATTAAAGTCAGAATTCTGAGAAAAAAGTCAGAATTCTCAGATTAAAGTCAGAATTCTCAGATTAAAGTCAAAATTCTAAGAAAAAAGTCAGAATTCTCAGATTAATGTCAGAATTCTCAGATTAGTCAGAATTCTCAGATTAGAGTCATAATTCTAAGAAAAAAGTCAGAATTCTCAGATTAAAGTCCGAATTCTCAGATTAAAGTCAGAATTCTCAAATTAAAGTCAGAATTCTCAGATTAAAGTCAGAATTCTGAGAAAAAAGTCAGAATTCTCAGATTAAAGT